ATCACACAGTTGGATCTTTGTCTTTCTTTTCTCTCTCTTTCTTTCTCCAATTATACCTCCCCTTTCTTCCTCCTGCCCTTTATCTTATTGTACATTATTGATTTCTGTCAGCAGTAAGGTATATGTCTATTAACCGACAGATTTAATAGAGCGACAATAGAAAGCTACTCATTTGTTCCCCCCGTAGTGTAAGTGTTCATTTTGAGAGTCTGATACTAACCCTGGCTAGGAGCGAGTGCTGGATTTTTAGCTGTAAATGGAAAACGCCTGCGGGCTTTTCATTTTCTGGGCCCAGACGTTCCCTTCATGGTGTCGGAGCCCTTGTGTTCACAGAGTTCATGTTTCGCTGCAGGGCTTTTTTTTTTTTATTTTGTTTTATCTCATAGCTTAGACTAGCAGGGTTTTAACTCCCAGAGGACTCCTGCGTAGCAACAGCAGAGATCAACAAAGTAAGTTTGTTTATGTTGGCTGTGTCCGCATGTTGTCGACTTATACATTTCTCAGTCTCCATTTCCTGCCTCTCCTTGCCCCAGGGGAAAGCAGCCCTCTAATTGGATCTTGTTCTAATTGAGCCTAATACTGGAGCTAACCGGAGTTGGGCCCTGTGGCTAATGAAGAGCTGAATCAAAACTAGGCACTAAAACTTTGACTGTGCTTGTGTGTGTGTGTGTGTGTGTGTGTGTGTGTGTGTGTGTGTGTGTGTGTGTGTGTGTGTATCCCTGCATTTTTTGCTCCAGTTCTATCATGAATGCATCATTACCCTCTTCAGTTAAGTTGGTGTTTTTACCTCATTTTTTACACACACATATAAATGTTTTTGCCTCAAAATAACTAGTTTTAAGAAGACAGAGAAATAAAAGTTTGTCATCCAACAGATACCGGCATATGTTGCTGTAAATCACACGCTTGAAACTACATGTAAGTCATAGACATACAATTAGCATGCTAAAGTTTCTCCACAAGAGGGAGCTGTTCAGTGAGTGCAGGACATTAACTGTATATTTGTATGGACAGCGCGCCCTCGTCCCCTTCCATTGTGATGTGAAGCCAAAATACTGACTCGGTCAATGTTGCGATGTTGCACACTCAAATGTGGATTGTTCGGAGGCACCGTAAGACTGACATTAAACCCCTTCAACAAACCAAAACATAGAAGTTACCATTAGTAAAGATCCCTCCAGTCGGTACGGTCTTCAGAAGGACAGATTCTTTAGTTTGAAGTGGACAACATCAAACTTTATTTATATAGCGCTAATTTACAGCAAGTTTTATCCCAAGATACTTATCAAAAAAGCTGAACCCAATTGAAAATGGGATAAGATTGAACCCCATCTTGTAAGACCAGACCCACTCCCATCCCATCTTCAACCACATAAGTGTAGCACTTTGCAGTGTTTAGCAAGTTACAGTGGGAACAAAATTTTGAGCAGAACCTGACCCATGTAAGACCGTTATCTGCTGCCCTGAATTGGTTTAGAGAGAGGATAGAGGGAGATGCAGAAAGAGAGAGATAGACAGAGGACACAGCAGCAAAATGTCTGCAGCAGCGATCCAGAAGAACCTACGGCATGATGGAGCTCAGGGACTTCCATAAAAGACAGTGTAGATGTGACTCTAATTGGACCATGTCTATTTTTGTCATGTTTTCTCTTTTCGTTCCTCTTCTACTCTGCTAATCTGGTAAAGAAGACTGCAGGAGCCTCATTTGTCAAAGAAGCTGTCAATGAAGCGTTTTTTAACATCTGAAAAGTAACTCAAATCAAATCAGCTCTTGTGCTGTCCATGGTTTTATACATAAAGCTTAGATGTTGCCTTGGATCACCAATTTGTTCCAGTTATTGGACAACCGCTCTACCTCCTGAGCTACTGCTGCCCCCAATTAGACCTTTTAGACCTTGTTGACTTGTGAAGGTTACTCCTAACAGTCAATGAACATCAAACCATTTTGACATATACCCCACACATTTGTACAGCTTACTATTCTCTATATGGTATTGTTTTAGTCCCCTAACCTCAAGCCTGTGTCAAGGCTGGAGTCTTTAGTGTCCAAGTCACTAGAAGGGAATCTGAACAGACTCCCCAATACCAGTGTCCCAGTCCAAATCCTCATTATTAGAGTTATAACTGATCACAAACAAGATGACTCTTTCACTTGCAGCTACTAACTGAACATACCTAGAATAATTTTGTGAGATGGGACTGCCTGTCTGGAACCTTTTGGATGTGAAGAAAACACATCTTGTATAAAAATTAGATTAACTAAGTTATATGATTAACTAGGTTACATAGCTGTATTTGGTGTGTAAATATACACTTTACTTCTCTTTACTGGGGGACACACTCATCAACTCTGCTTTGGTGTGATCACTACAGGTGTCTGGCAATCTGCTGTTAGTAGTACAGGTTTATTTTTAAGGGAGGTTGTTGTAGATATTTACATATTTTGTGCTCTTTATGTTACACTTCTGTGGACTGGAAGAGCAGCATACTGTCTTTTATATAACAATTAATTTGAAATATTTAAGTAATCAGAATTTCACACCCAGTGTTCTAGTCTCTCTAGAGGCTAATATTGTCATTAGCTTACTATCAGTAATGTAACTGACAGTCCAGGTACCTGAAGTATCACTTTTCTGGGTGTGCCAGGTTTGGGCTGGTCACCCTCTTCTCTTCAATGGTTCTTTTTCAAATCCAACATGTTCTTGCCTGCAAATTCTGCAAAATCTTGAAAGCAAAATGCATGATTCATAGCATCTCTTTATCCCAGCAGGATCTGTAATCGAACAAGACAGTACATGAATACCCATGCAGGTGAACATATGTGCCAGCTTTTGCTGTAAATCAAAAAATCTGGGCCTTATATATTAAGATATATAAAAAACCTTTATCAATCGAAATAGACACACCCAAGTCCTTCTGTCAATCATTCAAGTCCTAATGCGGTTGAGTCCGAGTGTGAGTCTAATTCATCCCTGCTTAAGTCCAAGTTGAGTCATGAATCCTGAGAATCAGAACTCTGAGAGGACTAAAGTACTACAACACTGATGCTTGTCCTCGTCTTAAACTCATCAGGAGTCAGGAAATAATAACAATTGTACAACTTGATGCTTGTATATGGCACACATATTAACATGCAAAAGGTATTTTGTTGTCATTCTGTGGGTAGGCTTTTCAACATAGAAAATGATCAAAGCAACATTTAAACCCAAAAGAGTTCACACTTTGGTCTAAATACAGTTCGCAGACTTTTCTACTTATTTATAGTGTTTCATTACCACCATGTTCTTTTGAGAGAAACTAAGGGAACTCAATTTTGATTCATGCAGTGTGTGAAATATGAACACTCTATGTTCTTGTTCTTGTTGGACTGTAAATGAGGATATACGATGCATCTTTACCTCCTCCTCTTTTACAAAACAAGGCGCAATATTTCTCACGATGGGCACTGATATCTTGCTCTGGTGATGATTTTGAAGACAGAATCTGATGCAGTGTGAATCGCTTGTTATTGACACCCTGTCACCAAGGTAACTAAACCACTAAGAATATATATATTCTGACATACATAAGCAAGATACAGACTCATGACGTCAGGTGTGAGAAAAACTTAGTTGATGCGCCTAATGATTTTATAGTTGGACCTATGTTCCAGTGTTAAAATGTTATCGGTTACAATAAAGAGAGTGATGTTTATGATATCTTTTATGCTGTCTGTCTGTCTGTCTGTAGTCTCCTTAAGCACTGAAACTAAGTTTGTTGTTTGGTTCTAAAAATAAAGGAGAGCAAATAAGGCTCAAGTGTCTCACTGTCATGAACTGAGATTCATTGATAGAGCTCAGGGCTTGATCGTCTTGGGAGGAAGTCGGTTACTGTTTGCTGAGAGTTTTCTTGCTAACAGATCAAGCTGCACGGTAATTCTGAAACTATTTTCACTGCAGTTTTGTAGTAAGATGAAATTGTCTGGTGGGTCTACCTCTCTAAACTTACCGCAACATCAGACACTGTCGCTCTGATGAAAACCCATTTTCAAAGGATTGATTTTTTCACTTATTCTCTCTTCCTCTGTCACACAAAATGCCAATCCATTGGATATAAAATGAAACAAGCCAAGCATATGCTGCGGCTTCAACAGTTGCGTAGGCAACAGAGATGGAAATAAATGACGCCAGGTTTGCTGCTGGAGGGCTAGAAAAGAAATGACTTTTCTCTTGCCTCTGGCTTCAAGATTGTCTTTTTTATGCCTTTACCTATCTGCAAATCATTCTCTCTCTCTCTACACACAAAAGCAGACAGACATGTACCTGACATATATTGTATAACAAGCAGTCTTCATACATCTGTGTTCACAAAGTCTGTTTTTTTTTAAATCCCAATCTTCAACACAGAGACTTTTTTATCCTTTGTGTCGAGGGGTTTTGATTTAGTTTGTGCTGGAGTATCACAAGTGAAGTCCAAACCAAAGAGAAGAAGTCTCTTGCCATCTTAAATAGTGAAGAATATTTATCCTAGCAGAAGCAAAACTATGTAGGCTTGACTGTTTTTGAGGCACAACATAAATAGTTCTTAGCCTGCGCAAAATCTGGCACTTCTAGGCAGCCTGAGCACATATGGCTCAACTTACGTCTTACTTTTAATTGGGAATCTACTAAGCTGTCTTACTTATTATGATTACAGGTCCATTTGACACCCTCTTTGCATAGATCTTCAAAGTTATTTTAAGGAATATTAGCTGGCAAGAGGTGTTAGCTCCAGGTGCTGCTGCCATGAAACTGTTAGCCGGTTGGTACCAGAAATAAACACCGGAGTGATACAGTGTGGAGCGTACACTTAAACTTTTTTTTCTTCTTACCCAGCATCTCATCTTAGCTTTGAAAAATCTGGCTTGTAAACGGTTATAAGTGTTACCATTACATAGCTGTGGTCAAGATTTCAATCGGCCACATGTGCTTCAAATCCACCCTCTCAGCTTTGTGCTGTAAAAAGGGATTGTTTGGAAACCTTTATTCAGTCCTGATCTCCAGATTGTGATGTCTTTCCCGAGCAGTTGCTGTAGTCGAAGGCCTGCGAGGCAAAAACCAGCACCGCACAGTGTTGGTGACTACCACCAGAGGGGGGTTGGGTGGAGACACAGCACTCCAGGTGGGCCGAGCTGCAGCCCCCCCTCGGGCGATCTGCCATGTCTGGAGAAGGAGGAGTGCACGGTAAATGGTTCCAGAGCAAATATAGCCTTCCAAACCTCCCGCCTCAAGGATGTAGCCCAAAGGCTCATGGGAAGATTGGAAACAGATGAAAGAAGGAAACTTTGGTGGAGCTCTTTGTTTGCTGTTATGAAACCCTGCTGGATGAAAGGCTTTTCTGTGGGATCGAACAGATATCATTGTTTAAAAAGGCAAAAAAAGCATCCTGCACGCATGAAGACAGAGCATAACTGTGTGTAAATTTTATATGCTCACACTCATTCAAGAGTGGGATTGCATTTCCTGAGTAGCCCTGCAGCTCTTGTCTTGTTTGTTGACAGTATTAAACAAATGGTCAGAAAGCCCATTACTCAGGGGGGAGTGAAGTGAGACCGTGTGTGTGTGTGTGTGTGTGTGTTTGTGTTTGTGTGTGTGCATATGTCTGGATATCCTTGGTGTGTGTGCTCTTGTGTTACATAGCCCCTCCCCAGCCCTGCAGGTTTCTCTGGGGTTTCTTGTCACCCTATGTCTCCGAGGTGAGAGGGCGGGTGATAATTGAACACTCCCTGGCACTTTTAACAAATGTATTGAAAGAAAGGATCGAAAAACCTGTTAATGAGATTTCCCTCCCCAGGCAGCACTCCGGGTTATTATTCTTATAATTTTCTTAATCTAATGAGTTACTCAAAGTTTATTTTCAAATGTATTTCTCCTGCTCACCCTATAGGGCTCTTGTTTTATTAACCTCTGTTTCTCAGCACAGAAACTTTATTAATAAATTAATTCACAATGCTTTTGATGAGATTCAAGATCTTTGAGAGAAAACGTATGAACACACGGCCTCGTGTTGCTCGGTGTGATAGTGTCCTCGTACCCAGGTGCACATCTTTAGACTTGGGTTTGTTTACCTCACAAGATGGCTCCTGGCTCAGGGAATGGACCATGAAAATGGCTGCTCTCCCGAGTGCCTACAGCACTCTTTATAGATTAGTTTTTCATGTGGCAGTTAGGCTGCTGGGATACACACCTCAGGGGATGAGCTCTCATTAAGGACAGTAGCTCTGGGCACTTTTTGCACTTGCTTCCTATGGCCACTGACCTCCTTTTCACCTGTGGGCGTGCAGCTACACACTGCAGCTCTGCTTTCTTGGTCTCCTTGTCACTCTCAACAACACCCTGGGGGTTGTCACATGATTCAAGTGACTCCTGACCTGCCTGTCCCTCCTGAGACTCCTCCCCTCCTGTCGGCAAGTCGCTCAGAATGATCACAGACTGCATAAGGGTCACGTTTGCCCCTTCCAAAATGGCGTTCGTGTCCTCGGGCATTTGAGCGAAGAGTTTGTCCAAGTTGACAGCATCCAAACATCATGTCAGAGACAGCCAACCTGATGTGTCATCTTAAAGCTGTAAAGCTGCAAAAATATTCATGTGGGGAAAATTTAACAACACAGAAACTAAGCAAGATTCCTAGTTTCTGCGAGGAGGGGGCACCTGTCTTATTGTACCTTCACCTTTAGCTCAAGCAAACACTGGAGTTGTGCTGCTTGAATGGACAGGAGCAGGATAATAACACTGCTTCGTCACCGTCCTCCCTCAGCCATTTCTGCAACCATTTCCTCACCGCTGTGGCTCATTTTAGCCACAAGACAAAGCTAGCTTGTGAGAAGCACCTAAAGGTGATCTAAGACCTAGACTAAGGTAGTTAATCATTGATCAAAAAACATTACCGTGGACTTGGGGGCATTATAGCTCTGCGCCTGAAGTGGGCGAAGAAATATCAATAAAAATCGCCTTGATCTTTTTTTAATTAAAGGCTAAAAGGCTGGAGCTCTCTGCTGCTGCTGCTGTTCTTGAGAAAACAGACCTTAAAACGACATATTTTCACTGTCTATTTAAGCTGGAGAAAAACAACATATAGCCACATTTTAAAGACAAAGATGTGACTCAAACATACACAGTTTAGTGTATGAAAGATTTACAGCAAGGCTGTAGGGCGGCCCTGTGCTGCTGATTGGTGGATTGAGATATCAGACCAGTTCTCATCAGCACTTATACCTGCAGGCGAAACAATTTTGTCCTCCACTAGTAAGCAATTAGATTATATTCAAACACACACACACACACACATACACACAGATCCTCTACAAACTGCATCCCTCCCTATGCAGCACTCAGTATGACACTTGCATCCTCCATATGTGAGTCTGTGTTAGCACAAGGATGCGAGCAGACACACACATTCTGTAGATCCGCACACACACACCCTGTAGGTATAAGGTTCCAGTTGGTATATCTCTGTCTCTAAGCCCCAGTTTGATGCCCTAGTCTCATGGTATCCAACCCCCACTCTCCCTGCATCCCCTCAGGCTTCTGTGTGTGTGTGAGTCTGTGTGTGTGTGTGTAAGATGGCTACTGAACCAAGAGGGCATTGTTTCTCTCCAGCGGGGTTTCATAATTGAACGTTCACATTTATGCACACGTTCAAACGGATACTAAAAGTAGAAGTGGAGCTCGTAAACCATGCTCTGCACTTGAATTAAAGTAAAACTCAAGATCAGGTTAGAGATTTTTTTTTTTTTTTTTTACCAGTGAAGTACTGTGCACAGACATATTTGGTGCAGAGAGATAATTATGTGAGCACTGATTGGAGGCTTTTTTTTTTTTCCACAGGAGGTGCAAACTCCAGTCAGCCCGCATCAGGTTGTGTGTTTCTTAGGCACATGTGTGAGTGTGGCCGGGGAAGAGAAAAGACAGCGGGCAGCAGGGACAAACCCGTCAACCACTCAGATCACATCAGGTCTGTCGAGACACATTGGAGCACAGCGAGCCTGATGGGAAATGCCCTCCAGGGGTGCGAAGCAGGCCAGATGACATACAGACGCAGGGACACGGGCAAAGAAGGAAGGGAGAATAAAAGATGGTGCATCCCGCTTTTTAATGCACAATATGATCCTGAAACATGCATACAATTATGAACGGCAATTGGAACTACATTATGGACCAATTATACAGAAACACCATTCCATCACAGACGTACACGCACGTACTCCCGCCCCCTACAGATGCACATACTTGCATGCATGCCTCTGATGTTGCCATAAACATGTAGCCTGGATCTCACACCAGATAACCTACATCTCTAACAACACGGCACATATGCTAATGTGGAAAGGGAAGGCATGATGTTTATGAGCTGCACATGATGCATATGCTTCTTGTGCGTGTGGGTAAATGCACAGACACGCTTGGGTACATATGTCCGCGGGGGCAAAATGGGAAATAGACACTTCTCTTCATGCCTGTTCTTTAATTGGGGCATTTATTGTTTCTGCAGTGGTGTTTACTTCATTAAATTAAGGCACATTTCAAAAAAATGCAACATGTTTCAAGGTTTATATAAGCAAAATTATGCTCTCAGCCATTAAGTTGCAAATTAACATATCTTTATGACTGTGGGATATGCCAGTTGAGGATGCTTTTACATTTTCACACTAATCAACTTGACTTTAACATGTTGGATTTCAGTTTGATTTGCTTTCATCGCAAATATTGTTTCCCCCCACGGCTGTGTGTGTCTGCACGTGTATCTGCGCGGAGCTGTGTGCGTGTGTGTGTGTGTAGGCTTGTGTGCTTTAGTAAGTTGTCCATGGCACCTTCATGTCAGCCCTTTCTTAGTAAATCACAAGATGTGTGTGCGCGCGTGTGTGTGTGGAGGGGGGTGTTACAAGGACAAAATGAACTAATGTTGAATATTCCGTATTGGTTTTACTGTAATTCTTTTCTAATTCTTAGTTTATTCAATTTCATCTCCTTGAGGCTGCTAGGTATGGAAATGAGGTCTGTTCTTTTTTTCTTCCTCTTCTTTTTTTTGCCTGTGTAAATTGCAGCTATCACCTCAAGCCTTTTGAACAAGATTACCCAGATGGCCTTGCGTGGTGTGCCTGAAGTTTTATTTTCCCTCCTTTGCCTGCTTTTTCCTTCTTGGCTGCGGGGAAAAGGAGAGAGGGAGCTGGGAAGCCTCCTGAAGGCTGCAGGCAAAGCTTGGAGGCAGCAGCTGTGGCAAAGAGAGATCTGGGGGAAGAAGAAGAAGAAGGAAAAAAAGAAGGAGAAGAAGAAGGCGAAGGAGAAGAAGAAGAAGAAGAAGAAGAGGAGTGAGTTGGGGAGGGAGTGCTGGGGGGTTGATGAGACGGGTGCAGGGGGCGTTGTTGTATGCAAAGGGAGGGGAGCACTAAAAATCCAGAGCTGAGAACACCAGCCATTGTGAATGCTACCCCCTACCTGGCTTGGCTGTCAAGGGGACCGGAGTAACCCTTGGAGTAGGCAAAGAGGGGGCTGGCTATGCTCTGGATGAAAACAGGAAGAACTTGGGCGTCTGTCGCGTGAACATGTGTTTGGAGCGCGGTGTTGTTTGCAGATACAGTCAAGTGTGTCCTTGTATAAACATTAGCAATACTTACATTTCAAACATCTAAAATCACACCCTCACCCGCCTGGGTTTGAGTTGGAAAAAAAAGAGATAAAACGCAACCTCCTACCTCTTGATCATTGTTGTGCAAGTGGTGAGATTTGTCATTGGGTTTCCTCCCGCCATGCCCTGGACATAATCTGCTGCCGGTTTTCCTGCCCTGAGGAGGAATACGATTTTCATACATTAAGGTTTGCACAGAGATAGAGAATTATGCAGAGTTGGAGTGTTCACCTGTTTATTATTCCAACATGCAACAGCCTCCATCCACACTAATCTCCAAAAGAAACACACCCCAACTCCCAGATTGCTGATCTTGGCTCGGAGGCAACAGTGAAAGGAGATTCTCACCTGAGATAAGGTGTGGAGAAGAGCGGCGGTAGCAGAAGGAGGAGCTGCATACATCACTTAAAAACAGAAATAAAATGTTTGAGGAAAAGCTGGCAGACTTTAACTCTAATCTGACACTCATCCCAAACACATGCTTTTTATTCGTGCACAATTGCATTTGTGTACGCATATTTTGATCATCGCTGTTAGTAGCAGTGACATGCCAAACAAATGTCCTGGCATCCCCCCCCCCATAGAGTCAGCCTTTCCCCATACTGAAGTCAAAAACTTCACCGTGTTATACGAGCAACAGATTTTCAGAAGCCGCTGCCAAAGAGTCAATAGCAAGCTATCACTGTTTGTTTTCACTCCCTCTATTTGTTTGTTTTGTTAAGGTTTTGCTCTCCATCATAATGAATCACTTTTTTCATCTTGTTCTTATTTATTCTCATGGCTGGAGGTAGAATGTGGTAGTTGATGAGGGGCTGAAATGAACTGAGCCTTAGCCTTAGCCCCAGGGCCGGCGCATATCTTAGCATAAGTGATGGCCGACCTGAGGGCTTGAGCCGAGCTGAGAGCGCCCTCAGGACAGCAACTCTGACAGATCATGTATTTATAGGTCTGTTGAAAGACCTCTATTGTGTCCCACATAGCCTGGGAGCATGTCTGTCCTCTGTATTATAATAAAGCCGCTGGCCTCACCGCTATGATGGATGGGTGGCCCTCGAATGGCGAGCTCCAGAATCATTAGAACTCTCCTAACATGCAGGTCTGCCCATGTGAAAGGCTGCTACCAGTGAGCATTACAGTACAGTTGAGACCTTTTAATCAAGGATGGGTGGCCATTATTAAATCCAATCCAAGAGAAAGAGAGAGCAAGTGGAGGGAAGAGAAAATGGAGTGAGGGAGGGGGCAAGTTTGTGGATGTTTTCGCCAAAGGATACATTTGCAATTATCTCAGTGGCTTAAATCGCCCCGCAGGTTTTTTCAATACAGGTTAGAATGAGCTTCTATAGCGTTTTACAGGCAACTTCAATGGTCAGATTTCATTACTGCAGAAAATTTTTACCCAAGCCAGCATTCCATCACACAGAAAGTGCGACCAATAAGGTATAACTGAGGACAGTGTATATATTTGCAGATATTTTGGAGAAACTATTTTAAAAAATCGAAAAGAAACACAAAACTTGCTGGAATATGCTTTGCAGCCCAAAAAAAAATGGAAGAAAAAAAACAGCTTGACTTTTCTGTGCCTAAAGCCTCACAAGCAGAGTGGTGTTTGAGCTGTTTCCCAATCTCATGTTCTTCTGTTACCTCTGGAGTAGAATATAAATGATTCCCTCTCAGTGTACAGTGGATGCCAAGGGGCCTGCAGCGACCATAGTCCGGTCTAAAATTCCTCACTGCAAGCGCACCATAACTCAAGGCCTGACTGATAAATAAACAATGGAGAGTGCAGCATGTTTTGGAGCACTACCTCAAATCCTCCACCAGGAGCACTGTCACATATAGAGGCCAATAAACATGAGGT